CACTGAACTCCGGCTATAATGTTTTCGATGCTCCCTTAGGCTCCCCTGACTTCCTGGCAGGGGGGAGTGGTCTGATGCATCCCTTGTCCCGTCTTGCTCCGCCCTCTGCTCGTCCTCAGCCGCGCAGCCGCCGCGCTGCAATCGGTGACAGCGACCCGCCGTGCTCCCCACGAGCGCGCGCGCCGCGCGGGGCGGGGCTGGTCCGGCCATGGAAGCCCGTGGGCCTGCGTGCTCGGCGAAGAAACTGCGCGACTTGATCGTGCTCTGGCTTGGCACGGAGAGCCGCGGACTAGAACTGCCCACGCTCGCACAAGACTGGCACGCCCCGGTAAAAGGCCGGCACCCCCTCCCGTTCCATCTCTTGCTCTGCTGCCGCAGGACTGCTGCTCCGCTTGCGACCTTGGCGTCCGCGTTATCGACGCTGCTGCGTGGGGAGGTGGCTCCCTCAATGGCGCGCCTGGGCTTGCGCCAGCAGCCTGGGCAAGTTGTTTCCTCGCGCGCGGAGGGCATCTCGCTGGGGGGGACCCCGACGCGCCCAGCCGAGGGGCCGAGCTCCCCTGTGCGCCCGAGTAGGCCTCCGCTTGCCTCTGGTGCGTCTGCCATGTAAGCGGCTTTCACAAGGGCTGTTGCGCAAGCCGCGTGGGCCGAGTGTGACCTAGCGTTTCTGCGTGGGCCGAGTGTGGCATCCGCATTGTTTCTCCTGGTTTAGCCGAGCGGTTGCTTTCGGATTTTCTCCCGTCGCGCAACCCCTTCAAAATTGCTGTGGCCGACCCGCTAAATGAGCACCCCCTCAATGTGGGAGGGATACTAAGTGATTTCCCCGCTGGCCCGAAAGAGCAGCGCGCGCAGGCCAGCGCGGCCTCGGCAATTCAGTTCGTTGGCGCTGGCCCTGCCCGTCTAGAGTCTAGAGTTATCTCCGTACTCGACCTCTGAGGTGGATCCCGTCCTCGAGAGCTTGGCGTCTACCTCCTCCGCGCTCCGTAGGTGTTTCGCGACTGTTCGGTCGGCGGTGCCCGAGGGCCGCAGGGTCACCCTGGCCCTCGCGGACCTGTCCCGGCAGTGCATCCTTACGAGCACCCCGTGGTCGGGCCGGCAGGTTACTCTCCTGCACAAGTCGGGCCCGCGCGTCGTCCGTTCCACTTTTTGCGCTTGCGTCCTCTTTCTCTCTCGGCGGTCAGGACGTCCGTCGTGGATGGTTTGTGGTCGTTGCGCAACGCCCTGCTGTTACAGGCAAACTGCGGGGTGGCCCAACAGGGCAGGGCTTCAGACCGCATCTCTACTCTCCTCGCTCTCCCCTTCATGCCCAACGCCGCTGCGCCCAGGGCCTGCCCACGTATTGGGCGGCCACGGATCTTCAACGAGCGTGTTCTGCTGCCTCCCACCCCGCCATGCTCCTGAATGCCTACGAAGCAGGCGACCGTAGCCAGGATTGGGGCCCCTGGCCGGTGCGTGGGCAGGGGGGTGCCAGACGAGCGCCGGCACCGTCGTGGCCTGCGCCCAGGGGGGCTAGCGAGAGGGCGACTGTGCACTGTGTGCGCGCGGTGGCTTAAAGCCAACATGCGAGTTGGATCCTTTGCCACCCGCGCCACTTGTGCACGCTCCCCATCGTGCCTGCTCGCCTGCCCGTCTTCTCCGCCGTCTCGCGGATTCTTCTCTGGTTGTCTCTGCTCGCTGCCGTCTGTTCCTGGCCCCCCCTCCCCCTTGCCCCACTCCCTCCCGAGGTTCCTCTGTTCTTGCCCTCCGCCCCTTCTGGCTGCCAGGCGATATAGTTTACAGCATTGTCCGCATCACGGTCGAACTCGGGACAGGGCTATGGTGGTAAGTCCCCCTTATGCTGCATTGTGGTGTATGTTTCTCTGCACGCGTGTGCTGCTTACACGCTCCGTGGCGCCGTGCGGTATTGCATTCAGGTTTGTCCGCATCGGGGTTGAACTTGAAGCATGGCTTTTGTGATAAGCCCCCCTATTCACTGTATCATAATGTCTGTTTCTCTGCCGGTGCGTGTTGCTTACGCGCCCCGTTGTGCTTTACAGTCCTGCTGCGCCCCTGAGCTTCTCTGTCCTCTGTGTCTCTCCTCCTTTGTCCTGGTTCTCTGTTCGTGGCACGGTGCGCACGCAAGGCTTTCCATCGCTGTTCCCGCTCGTTCTGACTCCTCCCTGCCGTCTGCTCTTGCTCCTCTGTTCTTGCCCTCCGCCCCTCTTGGCTGCCACGCGATATAGTATGCAGCATTGTCCGCATCAGTGCTGGACTCGAAGCATGGCTTTTGTGTTAAGTTCCCCGCCCGCTGCCTCAGGAGTCATAATGCATGTGTCTCTACGTGCGTGTGTGTTGCTTCCACGCTCCGTTGCGCCGTGCGATATTGCATGCAGTGTTTGTCCGCATCGTGGTTGGACTCGAAGCATGGCTATTGTGATAAGTCCCCCTTCCACTGTATCATGTTGTCTGTTTCTCTGCAGTGTTGCTTGCCTGTCCTGTGGTATAGATCACCGGGGGCCTTGGCTACCCTAGGCCCTACCCAAGGCCCTAGGCTTCCCAAGGGTAGGCCCTACCCAAGGCCCTAGGCTTCCCAAGGGTAGGCCCTACCCAAGGCCCTAGGCTTCCCAAGGGTAGGCCCTACCCAAGGCCCTAGGCTTCCCAAGGGTAGGCCCTACCCAAGGCCCTAGGCTTCCCAAGGGTAGGCCCTACCCAAGGCCCTAGGCTTCCCAAGGGTAGGCCCTACCCAAGGCCCTAGGCTTCCCAAGGGTAGGCCCAACCCAAGGCCCTAGGCTTCCCAAGGGTAGGCCCTACCCAAAGCCCTAGGCTTCCCAAGGGTAGGCCCTACTCAAGGCCCTAGGCTTCCCAAGGGGTAGCCCTAGGGGTGGGCCCCAGGGGTAGCCCCAGGGTAGCCCTAGGGGTAGGCCCTAGGGGTAACCCTTTATTGCGGATTACAATATGATTCCTTTGGTCGAGCGGGCGGGCGGGACATTAATAGCATTGGTTGCCTTGGTGGCGGATTACATATATTTATTCCCTGTGTGGTGGATTATCAACTGATTATTCTTGTCGGGCGGGCGGGCGGGACACTAAAGGCATTGATTGCATGTGTGGCGGGTGGCACACTGATTCTTGTTGTGGCAGATTGCACATTAATTCCTTTTGTCGGGCGGGCGGGCGGGACGTTAAAGGCAATGATTGCTTGTGTGGCGAATTACGAATGGATTCTCTTTTATTGCGGATTACAAACTGATTCCTTTGGTCGGGCGGGCGGGCGGGACATTAAAAGCATTGGTTGCTTTGGTGGCGGATTACAAAGGGATTCCATGTGGCATCGGGTTACAAGTTGATTACTAGTGCGGCGGATTACAAGCTGATTCTTTTGGTCGGGAGGGCGGGCGGGACATTAAAGGCATTGCTTGCTTTGCTGGCGGATTACAGATTGATGCCCTTTGTGGCGGAGTGGGAGTGGAAGAGGAGGAGAAGGGGGAGGAGGAGCAGGAGGGGGAGGCGGAGGGCGACGATGACGACGACGACGACGACGACGACGACGACGACGACGACGACGACGACTGTCTGGGCCTGGAGCGTGCCCGGCGGGGCGCGCCTTCCTGAGCGCACGCCGACGCGAGGGAGACGCCGAGGACCGACGAAGACCTGCTCGGCCCTCGGTCTTCGAGGAGGTCTGGGCTTGGGCCCCCCTCCTCCTCCTCCTCCTCCTCCTCCTCCTCCCCCTCCTCCTCCTCCTCCTCCCTCCTCCCTCCGCACGCCTCCTCCCTCCTCCCTCCTCACTCCGTCCGCCCGCCTCCTCCCTCCCCCCTGCTCCCGCCGCCTCCTCCGCCTCCGCCGCCACCTCCTCCTCCTCCTCATCCTCCTCCTCCTCCTCCTCCCCCTCCTCCTCCTCCTCCTCCTCCTCCACCTCCTCCTCCTCCTCCCTCGCTACTCCCTCGATCCCCTGCTTCCCCCCCCCCCGCTCCCCCTTCCGAGGGCAGGGCGCCCGCGCCGCCCCCCGGCGACCGCGGCCCCGGCGCCGCAGACCCCCCCTCGCAGACCCCCCCTCTGGGACCCCCCCTCGCTGACCCCCCCTCGCAGACCCCCCCTCACAGACCCCCCCTCTGGGACCCCCCCTCGCTGACCCCCCCATCGCTGACCCCCCCTCGCAGACCCCCCCTCGCAGACCCCCCCTCTGGGACCCCCCCTCGCTGACCCCCCCTCTGGGACCCCCCACAGACCCCCCCTCGCCGACCCCTCTCGCCGACCCCCCTCCTGACCCCCCCTCGCTCGCCCCCCCTCGCTGACCCCCCCTCTGGGACCCCCCCTCGCTGACCCCTCTGGGACCCCCCTCACAGACCCCCCCTCGCTGATTCGCGCACCCCCCCTCGCTGACCCCCCTCGCTGACCCCCCCTCCCCCTCGCTGACCCCCCCCTCTCCCCCCTCACACCCCCCCGCAGACCCCCCCCGCAGACCCCCCCTCTGGGACCCCCCCTCAGACCCCCCCTCGCAGACCCCCCCTCTGGGACCCCCCCTCGCAGACCCCCCCTCGCAGACCACCCCCCTGGGGTAGGCTACCCTAGGCTCAGAGTCGGCCGCGCGCAGAGGGAGGGTAGCCCTAGGGATAGGGGTAGTGTAGGTTTGAAACTCGTTTCGAAACCGTAGGTTCTTGGGAGTGTTGGGGGAAACCTCAGCCACTTTCCCCTGCTCTTTTGAGTGGGGGGCTCAAGGGTGGCTCCCACAGCGGGCTCGCCCCGACGCGCGAGCCTGGGCCCCCCCGACGTGGGGCCCCGCCACGGGCGCACGGTGGCGCCCCATGCCGCTGCCGGTGGCCATGGCACTGGTGCCGGCCCTGGCTGGCCTCCTGGCGCACGGACGGCCGCGGGCGCTGCTGCCTCCGGCGCTGGTGCTGGCCCCGGCTGGGGCGCTGGAGCTCTGGGACGATTTCTGGGACTACGTACATGATCGGCGTCGTGGGGCGGCGAGGCAGGCCAACGCCAGCAGGACGGACGGGAAGCAGAAGGCCAACCTCAGCATGGCGAACGAGAGCTCCTGCGGCGCGAACTCAAGCAACGTGACGAACGGGTCGGCCGGCCCGCCCGACGACGCGGGCCCGACGGACAACACTGGCGACGGGGACGGATACGACGAGCACGGCAACGACGAGTTCCCCGGCGTCTTCATCCTCGGGTACCGCTTCGTGGCCCTTCAGCGACCCCGTCAGGCGAGCAGGCCGTTTTCTCTTCGGGCCAAGCTGGGACACCTTCATCTTGGGCGGGCGGATTGCTTTCGGCGTGGTGCTCGTCCTTTTGTGCTTGACAATGTGTGTGTGGCTGATGGAGCTCATCCAGCGGGCATGCGCCCCACTCCGTGCAGTGGCCGGTTTCCTCAGGGGCGTGTGCTGCCGCAAGGGCCAGCGTACTATACCCGTGACCACGGCCGACCAGATCAACCGTGACCCGCAGCAGGTTCAGCTCTACGGCCCGGGTCTGGAGAAGGAGCCCCCGACGAACTTCTACCGTGACCTGAAGACCGCCCTCCGCGCGGGCAACCCCCGCCACGTGGTCTTCTCCGTGGACGGCCAGGTGGCGCGCGTCCCGCTCAAGTGGAGCGACGCGCGGACGAATGCCCACGGCCTGATCATCGACTACGACACCGTCTACGGGGCCACCTCACGGCGACTGAGGAAGGACCTGGAGAGGGCGGCCACCAAGAGGCTCCACCTCTGCCGCAAGGTGGGCCCCTGCCAGGAGTGCGAACCGTTGAAGGCCCACCTGCAGTCCTACGCGGTGGTCGCGGCCGACGCGGTGGTCGACCTCGACGACCTCGCCGAGCACACTCCGCTCGGCTGGTGCTGCGTCCGCACCTCGCGGGGCATCCGTGGGATCCCAGGCTGCGCCTGGGGCCTCGTCCGAGGCGCCGGCGGCCTCTGCTGCCTCCCCTGCTGCTGCTGCCCGCGCCGCAGGCGCAAGCCCACGACGCCCGCGGAGGAGGGCCCCAAGCCGCGCGACGAGTCGGACACCGAGGACGAGGGCATCCCCTGCATGGCTCATCGGGTGGGCTGGCGGCACGCCGAGACGGGCCGGGTCACGCTGCTGGCCCCGCGGGTGCAGTGTGGCGACAAGGCGCTCGAGGAGAACACCACGCTCCTCACTGACGACGCCCGCGTCAGCCCCCTGACCGCCGGGACGCAGCAGGAGCAGGCCCCTCTCTGTGCCCACCACGCCGCTTTGTACCAGGGGATGCGGCGTGCGCAAGGCTGCGCCAAGGCCAAGTGCAACTCCCTGGGCTACGCACGGCGCGACGGCATCATGCTGTGCAGGCCGCACTACGACGAGAGCCAGCAGGAGAAGCGCCGGGAGGCGCAGGCCCTCCAGGAGGCACGCGACGCAGCCCTTTCCACCACCTTGGCCCACGCTGGGCCCCAGGGCACGCCGCCCCAGCCGCCGCCGCCTCAGCACGAGGGAGCAGCTCCGGGGCCCCCCTCGCCCCGTCCCCCGCAGCCCCCTCACGGTGAGGCCCCTCGGGGGGGCGGGAGCCAGTCGAACCCCCGGCTCTCCATCGCCGACCTCGTCTCCCGCCTCGACGGCGCCGACGGGGCCCCCACCAGCGCGGTGCCCTCCCCGCCGAGCGGGATGGAGTGCCTGCGGGAGTACCTCCGCGACCGCGAGCTCCACCCCGAAGAGGGAGACGCAGGCGCCCAGGAGAGGCTCCTCAACCGGTACGACTGGGACCAGACCCAGGACGTGCTGAAGGTGCTGCTGCGAGGTGCTGCGGAGTACGAACGAGATGGGGGGCGCGGTCTGCGCACGCTCGAGGGCGAGTGGCGCAGCCAGCTCCGCCGACTGCGCGACGGCTACCAGGAGGCGGTGCGCCCCACCTTGGCTCCGCTCGCACCGCAGGCCCCCCCGGGCCTCACAGCGAGCATCGCCCACCCCTTCGGTGGTGGCGCCCCCACCTGGGGCGTAGGCCCCGCGCCTGCGACGAGCCCTGCCGCCCCGCGGCCCCTGCTGCCGCCTGGCGCCCCCGCCGCCTCTGCGCCGCTGCCCTCCCTGGTCGGGCGTGGCAGGACCGACCTCTACCACAACCTGGTGGGCCCCATCCTGGCCGACGGCACGCGGCACGCCCCCCCGGGCGAGCGACGCGCTGGGGTCGGAGGGGAGATCGGCCCCACCGGCGACAGCGAGATGGCAGCCGCCCTCAAGGACATCGGACTCGGCATCGAGAGCCTCGTCAAGCACAACAGTGAGTCCAAGAGCTCCAAGGGCACGCCGCAGGGCTTAGGACGAGAGGAGACGGCCCTCGTCTTCCTCGCGCGGGCCTGCAACCGCTTCAACGTCCAGGTCTGCCCCTCCTACACAGGCACGTCCCTCTACCAGGCCATCAAGGAGGCCTTCGTCACATCGAAGGGCGAGCTCTCGGGCCTCGGTTGGCCCACCTGCGTCACATCACGCCTCGCCCTCGGACTCGCGGGCCTGTACTTCGGCGCACGGGACCAGCACTCACTTCTACCACACTACTTGAGCGTGGCGGACTTCCCTAAGCACTCCCAGGAGGAGCACGACAACCACGTAGTCCCCCAGGACGACCGCCTCGAGGCCCGCCCCCGGGCTCCCGCTACGCTGGCCCAGTGGGTGAAGCAGGCGCAGAACCACGCCAGATGCTTCGCGCTGATCTACGGTTGGGAGCACTACCAGGAACGAGCCGACGCCATCGAGAAGCTGGAGAAGCTGGCCGAGGAGGACTCCGACGTCTTTCCCCGCGAGCGCATCTACGGCTGGTTCGAGGAGCTCAACTGGCGCTGGCGCGAGGATCTCAAGGACGTGTACCGCCAGCTCCTTCGGATATCAGGCAAGGAGTGGCTACGCAAGGAGCAGCTCGAGTTCATGGCCCTCACGCCAGACAGTGACGGCAACCCTCTCCTGCGCATGCCGACTTGTTTCAAGCTCGACCTGGAGGACGCCTGGTTCAGGAAGACCATCTTGCCACACCTGGAGCGGCAGCACAGCCGGACACTCTGGCGACTCACGCACAAGGCCCTGAAGGCACCAGGAGATGCTCGAGGCGCAGGTGCCGAACCAGGAGCCGAGGGGAGCCCCCGCAGGGCTTACCCCGCGGGCAAGCGCCTGCCACCCCGGGAGGCCGCCGAGTCGGTCACCCACGCACCCATCGATGAGGTAGCCAAGAAGCCCTACTGCTGGGGCGCAGCCACGCACTGTGGCTGCCAGCGGACAGCTGCCGAGTGCGGCCACTCGCACCGCCCTTTCAAGGGCACCCTCCAGCAGCAGCATTGGACAGTGCAGGCCCAGCTGATACGCCGCGGGGGCTTGAAGGGTGACAAGCCCATCCCCCCGACCGAGGTCGACGGCCGCATCAAGCAGCTTCGGGAAGCCGCTCGCGAGGAGGCAGCCCAGAAGGTCCGTGAAGGGGTGGCCCGCCGAGGGCAGGCAGGCCGTGGCGCCGGCGACGCCTCAGGGGCCCCCCCGCGGAGCATCAGGTGGGCTCCCCCGGAGGAGCTCGTCAGCTTCGCCCCCACAGCAGCCGAGAACGAGCTCACGGAGACCTTGCGCGGCCCGGACTACAACTGGGAGCGCGACGTCGACCCCCCCGGGCCTGACACCGCGAGAGCCGTCGAGGACACCACCGCCGAGTCCCCCGAGGACGTTGGAAGGAGGCGCGAGCAGATCGCGAAGATCGCCTCGCTCCCCGAGGTAGGTCCGCTCGAGCAGTGCAGCCATCACCTCCAGTCCTACGTCAAGGGGCGCCTCCTCCATAGCTCGCTCAGGGGCGAGGACATCACCGTCGAAGGCGTGCTGGACGAGCTCGTCCGCGGAGGCCCCGCCGCGCTCGCCGAGGAGGCGGGCGACTACCTGGATCAGCTTCGGCGCGCAGGGGGGGCCCACCTTGGACCCGGCTCGGGCTACGCCGAGGTTCTGCAGCCCACCTGGCCCGCGGACGGCGGCTGCGGGATCGGTAAGCTCCTCGTGGCCGGCCTCGCGCTGGAGACGGCAGACTACCGCGACTCCATCCACGTGTCGCCTGGCCTCCGCGAGGCCCTCCAGCTCGGCGACCAGGAGCTGGAGGAGCGCCAGTGCATGGTCATCCACATCGCAGCCGGCCTCCTCGACATCGAGGCCACGAGAGGGGACGCCCAGGCGCCCGACGCCGCCTGGCCCCCTCCCACCACGGACACGCTTGCTCTCGCAGCCGACCTGAGGGAGGAGCTCTGGGCAGGGGCCTCCGAGGCCACCCGCGCCCTGGGCGAGACCCCAGAGAAGCTTGACAGAGCCGAACGTGAGGTGCGGGGCTACATACACGACGTACTCCACCCTCATCATAATAAGGACTATCGTTCGCTTTGTGCGTTCCCGCTCGAGCCCCTCAGCAACGTGATCCCCAATTTCATTCGGGTCGACTCCCTGGGGCGCGTCAACTTCGAGAGCGTGTCAGGAGCAGCGGCCAGCCCAGAGTCACCGAACTGCTGGTTGCTCATCCACCGACGGCACATGCGGCTCATCAAGCTCGGGCCCGACATCGACCGAGCCACACTGTTGGCGGACTTTGCCCAGCATGCCAGCACCTGGGGGGGCAGCCCGCCGACCGACTACGTGGCCATGGGCTGGGAGGTTCTCCTCGACCAGGCGAAGGAGTGGGCGCCCGAAGCGTTCACCCCCCAGCCCAGGACCTGCCTTTGCTGCAAGTACATCAAGAACAGGCAAGGAGACGGAGCACGTGTCGCCGGGGACGTGGCCCCCCTGGAGCCCCTCAACGACGACTACACCTTCCTGACAATCGCCGGCTGGGGCCTCCAGGCTTGGAGCCCCTACTGCAGAAAGGAGCACCCTATCCCCGAGTCCGTCACCGTCCCGGGGGACAAGCTCATCGCCCAGGAGATCATGGCGGGCACTGGGCGGTGGACTCAGGCCTGGAGGTCCCGCAGCCTGGAGGCCAGGGACCCCATCGAGTACTACGAGGATCCTCTGAGGAAGCAGGGGCCCCGCGAGGACCACAACGTGCTCCTCAAGCCGGTGCAGGACCGCCTCCTCGAGGACATCAGCAAGGGCGACGTGAACGTCATCGGTCTCGAGCCCGTGTGCACCAGCTTCTGCTCTTGGGTGCGTTGCAATGGCGGGACGCGCACCATGGCCCAGCCAGAAGGCGTCGAACCCCTCCTCGCCTCCGAAGTCACAGGCAACACGATAGCGGAGTTCTCGGCGCGAGCTTTCAAGAAGGCTCTCGACATGAAGAAGTTCGCTTGGGCCGAGAACCCAGCCCCCGACGGGATCTACCCCTCTATCTGGGATACCAAGTGGTGGAGACCGCTCCTCGACCGCAAGGACGTGATGATTATCCCCTTTGATTTCTGCGAGCACGGCCACGGCCCCGAGGACGACCCCACGGCGCGCTACCGCAAGCGCACGTGGATCGTCGCCCGTGCCTCGCAGCAGTTTGCGCGCTGGATTGCCAAGCGATGCTGCGGGCAGCACCGCCACGTGTCGCTGGAAGGCCATGCTCCAGGTTCGGCAATCCGGCGCTGCCGCACCTCACAGGTCTACCCCTGGCCGTTCGTCGAGAACCTCACCCAGGGCATCCTGGCGGGCGTCTTACCAGGAGGCTTGCGCACCTCAGGGTGCGAGACTACCGATGTGCTGGACGGTGGGGAGGCCCCCCCCCTTGCTTCAATTTCGGCGAGCTCATTGGATTTGCAAGGAGGGATGGCACAGGAACCGAGGCCGCCCGACGACAGTGCGAGGCGCGTGGGCGACTCGGGGGAGGCCAGGGCGCTGATCAGGCGCTTCGCCCTCGCCTACGTCGCCTATGCCAAGGCCCAGCCGACAGGCACGGTGGACGCTTGGAGGGGAGCCGCCGCTCGAGGCGAGGCACTGGTGGAGCTGGCGGGCAGCGTGGAGGAGGGCGCCCGCGCCCTCTTCAAGGCTAGGAGCGACCTGGGCCTGGACAACCTGAAGGGCATCTTCGACTCGGACCTGGACCGCCACCTGGCCCCGGACGCGCTGCTGTACTTGCGGGACCAGGCCGGGCACGGCGTGGCCGCGAGGGACACGGGCATCAAGGTGAGAGAGGAGTGCAAGCCACATCAGAGCGCAGCTGACGTCTTGGACCAGTGCTACGAGGGCTCCTGGAAGGACGTCCACGCCGCCCGTGTCCTCGTCCTCCCCAGGCGCCGACGCGACCTCCTGCAGGGGGTCCGCTCCTCACCGCAAGGAGCGGTCCCCAAGCAGAACCCGGACAGGACGCTCTCCCTAGAGAAGAGGCTCATCCATGACCAGAGGCGCGTCAACGAGACCACGGACAAAACATGGCATCCTCCCGCGGCACAACCGTTCCATCGACAGCTCGCCAGGTTGATCGTCTGGTGGTCAGTGAAGCTACCGCGTATCCCCATACTCCTATCGAAGCTGGACGTCAAGGGGGCCTTCAAGCTGCTCTGGGTCGACCCCCAGGACGTCGGCACCTTCGCCACTGACCTCCCTTGGCACCCGGAGGCCTGCTCGGCGCCCAGGGGCCCTGAGGAGGCCCCCGCACCGCAGACGACCGACCCGGACACGCAGCTCGACCAGCAGGTGCAGCTCTGCCTGGATAGGGGCCTCGCCGAGGGCCTCACGCTCATCTCACTGGTTCTCACCTTCGGCTGGGCTGGAAGCCCAGGCGAGTGGACACCTTGGGGCGATAGCGTCGCAGCGGTCCACAGCCAGCACGCACCGGGGAACTCGGCTTGGGAGGGGCCCTTCAAGTTCCAGTCGTACATTCTCATGGACGACCTTGTCTTGGTCGAGCCCGCCCTTGGCATGCGCCCCTGGACGTCCAGATCGCTGGCCGAGAAAACCATCGAGAAGCTGCTGGGTCCAGCCGCCGTCAACCAAGACAAGAAGCACCAGGAAGGCTACTTCTCGACGAACAAGATCGTTTGGGGACTGGAGTACCGCACCGACGAGATGCAGGTGGCCATCCCCGAACCGCGGTTGTTGAAGGGCGCCTACCTACTTAGCGACACGTGCTACGACAGCGGCTACAAGGGCGCGAGGCTCCGCGACATGCAGGTGTTGAGAGGCACGGGCACCAGCTGGATGGCGGCCATGCCGGCGCTGGCGACCGAGCTGAGAGCAGTGGACGCCTTCCTTACGCCGCAGGCCGACGGGATTCTGAGGCCCAAGGTCGAGCCGGGGGCGGAGGAAGCAGCATGGCAGGACCTGTGGGACACCTGCGAGCTACTACGACTCCTCCTCGCCCGGCCCGAGGTATGGGGGGAGCGCTTCACCGTCTCCATGTACACTCTCCTGGACGTGCGCGAGCGCCTCGCGCTGCCCGGCGAAGCAGCCAAGGTCGTCTGGGTCACCACCGACGCCACCACGTCCGTTGCCTTCGGCGCCGACTGGACCGAGAAGATCTACCTGCGGCAGGACCTCAAGGACTACAAGGGCATGCTCGGCGAGGCCCTCGGCGACTCCGACGACAGCACTGTCGAGATCGCTCTCGGCGAGGCCATGGCCTACATCGTCCTAGCCGGGCGTCAGGGACCATCGTGGAGCGGACGCATCGTGCTCCTGGCAACGGACAACATGGCATTCACGAACTGGCTCAAGAAACGACACCCTCGACCTCGACTCGTACGCCACCTTTTTAGGATTCTGCACTACCTTGAGTGCAAGTACAACTTCATGACGATCGGCCATTTCTTCCGTACCTACCACAACGTCACGGCGGACTTCGGCTCCAGGGCCAGCCAGGAGGAGGTCAAGCGCCGCATGGACGAGCTGGGCCTCTCGAGCGTCGACGCGGCGCACGAGTGGGCGGACCTCGTCGCCAACGGGGTTCGCCGCAGGGTGCTCCGCTTGCTTGGCGGCGACGCCGAAGACGGCCGGATCGCCCTCCAGCTCCGTGAGGCCCGCCTGAAGAGGAGGTTCAGAGAGGTCCCCCTCGCCACGGCCCCGGGGAGGGCCCTCGAGTGGGGCCTAGGAGCAGGTTTCTTCTCCAAGATCTGGACGGGCCTGGGGGGCACGGCGCACACCGCGCCCATCGGCGAGGACCCAGACCCCAGCGCGGGCCCCGTCTGGGCGATCCTGGCGACGCTAGGCCCAGACCCCACGGGGCGCAGCGCCTGCAAGGCGGCCAGGCAGGCCGCCCGCCTGGGCGCCCAGCGGATCGCCCTCGACGCCCCGCGGCAGCTGCCTCTGGGCGAGGCCGCTCGCAGTCTGCAGGAGCAGGGCTTCACGGTGAGCACCGAGGACCTCCTCGCGACCGAGGTCGGGGAGCTGGTGGCGCGCCGCCGTGCCCTCCTGTTGGGCACGAGGCACGTGGGCGACGAGCAGCAGGCATGGACGTTCGACACCCTCGACCTCAGGCGCCCGATTGCGCCCGCGGTCGGCCCCGTGCTGCAGCCCCCGAGCGCGCTGCCGCCCGACGCATGGCTGCTCCACGCCCGCTTCGAGGCCGACCCCCGCATGCGGAGGGCGGAGGACCGGCTCCTCCCAGTGGGCGTCGGCCACCTCTGGTCGGACAAGGGACGCGAGGTGGTCTACAGCACGGGCGGACCCCTCCCGACCATCCAGGCCGACTGGACGACACACCCACCGCCCCTGATCCGGGACTTCAAGGGCCCGGGGCACGGGGTCAGGCGCGTCACGCTGGAGGAGAGCTGGCTTGCCGTGGGTGGCACCCTAGAGGACTTCCCCACGCCCCAGGACGACGCCACGGCCGCACATGTCACGAGGCTCATCGCGGGCGACACGGGGGCTCGACTCGCCGGCGCCATCGCCCTCTGGGCGGGAGCTGCCCTTGACTGGGAAGCGAGCGCAGGCGCTTGCTTCGACCTCGACGCGCAGGCCAAGGAGCGTGGCATGCGCGAATGGCTTGCACGCTGGAGGCAGGGTCTACTGCCCGGGCGCCCGCCACCGGCCCCCCTCCCACACGCTGCACCGGGGCTACCGCCAGCACACCCCGGCGAGCCCGGCCGCCACGCAGGCGGCAGCACCCCGGGAGAGGGGGCCGACCGCCGCCCCCCGACGCGCTGCGCCATCTTCCGCCCGGCTGACGGGGGTATCGACGCACGCGCGGCGGCTCTCGCAGCGGGCCTCGTCTGGCAGGACATGGGCGGCACCCAGGACGAGCACGACGCCGCTCGCGCTGCGGGGGCGTCAACACTGCCCGAGATCGCCAGGCCCCCTCGCAAGCAGAAGATGCCCCAGCTGGGACTTGTCTCCATTTCGGCCCCCGAGCACCTCGTCGACCTGGCGCCGGACGTCCCGGTGTTCGCAGAGGTCCAGGAGTGGGTCCACAAGAAGTTGGCCAGCGGGCTGGCGCACAGCACCCGCACCAGCTACGGCGAGGCCTGGTCCAAGTGGCTCTGGTGGTGCACCCGCAGGGGTATCCCGCCGCTGTTCGAGGGCGACTCCAAGAGGCAGGTGACCGAGGACGAGGAGGAGCTCCTGCGCTTCATCGGCTACCTGGGCTGGTTGGGCAAGGGCAACGGCACCATCCTCAGCACCCTCTTTGCACTCCAGGGCGGCCACGTGCGGGCAGGAGGCGGCGACCCTCTCGTCGGGAAGAAGCGCATCAAGGTCCTCATCGACTCACTCCAGAAGGGCGGCCCGAAGGAGGAACGCAAGCTCGGCGTCACGCCGCGCATGATGATCTGGCTGAAGAAGGAGCTTAGCCCCACCCCGCCGTGCCAGGGAGAGAGGGCCACGAGGGGACCTGACTTCGACTCGGTGGTGCTCCGGGGGGCCCTCTGCACGGGCTTCTTCTACCTCTGCCGCGCGAAGGAGATCGTCGACAGCGGAGGCGTCGATGAGCAGATGTGCCTGCGCGGGGTCGATGTGGCATTCCACGACAAAGAAGGAGGTGCTGCAGCTCCTGGAGTAGGCTCGGCAGCCAAGGCCCTGATCACTTTTCGCAAGACCAAGACGGACCAGCGGGCGTTCGGAGCATGCAGGACTCACCACAGGGCCGAGGCGGAGGTCTGCCCGGTGGAGGCCCTGGAGCTCCTCCGCCTCCACGCGCCCGAGCGCTTCCAGGAGGGCTCCGAGGGCCGCCGCCCGCTCTTCCGTTGGGCCTCGGGCCGCATGGTCAAGCGGGAGCAGCTCCAGGCCGCACTGCAGCGAGCCGCTGCGGCGGAGGGCCTGCCGCCGAAGCGCTTCAAGAGCCACTCCCTCCGCATCGGAGGCGCCTCAGCGCTGTGGCACGCGCTGGGCGATGCCGAGGCGGTCAAGAGATGGGGACGCTGGAGCTCGAACGCCTTCCACGGCTACCTCTACGACTCGGAGGAGCAGTCGAGGGGCGTCGCGGCGGCCATGGCCCGCGACGTAGCCACGCTCCACGCGGCATGACGGACGATGGCGGGTGGGCCACCTGGCCAGAGCGTGGCACGGCAGAGGCCGCGCTCAGAGCGGCCAGAGCGAGGCCGCTCAGACGGAGGTGGAGCTGGTCGCACCTCGTGCTGCAAAATGCGGGGTGAGTGACGCTCTCTCCCCTCTTTTTCTCCTCTTCTCCCCTCCGGCCCTGGGGGGCTCTTTCCCCGGGCCTGGCCCTCGTGGGCCCTCTCCCCGGGGCCTCCCCGGTGCCTTTGGGGCGCCTTCCCTCCTTTGCTCTCCTCGGCTTAGGCTTCGCCGCCGCCGCCAGTAGTTAGAAGTTTTGGGCTCGTTAACTCGTTAACTTGCTGAGTTTTGGTAGCGACCAATAACGTGTAGGTTTGAAACTCGTTTCGAAACCGTAGGTTCTTGGGAGTGTCGGGGGAAACCTCAGCCACTTTCCCCTGCTCTTTGCCCACCCAGGGACCCTCAAGAGGCTCCTCCCGCCCTAGGGCTGCCGGTCCCCCGCCTGCGTGCACGAGGTGCGCGGCGGGTGGGCCACCTGGCCAGAGCGCGGCACGGCAGAGGCCGCGCTCAGAGCGGCCAGAGCGAGGCCGCTCAGACGGAGGTGGAGCTGGTCGCACCTCGTGCTGCAAAATGCGGGGTGAGTGACGCTCTCTCCCCTCTTTCTCTCCTCTTCTCCCCTCCGGCCCTGGGGGGCTCTTTCCCCGGGCCTGGCCCTCGTGGGCCCTCTCCCCGGGGCCTCCCCGGTGCCTTTGGGGCGCCTTCCCTCCTTTGCTCTCCTCGGCTTAGGCTTCGCCGCCGCCGCCAGTAGTTAGAAGTTTTGGGCTCGTTAACTCGTTAACTTGCTGAGTTTTGGTAGCGACCAATAACGCCCTTTTATTGCGGATTACAAATTGACCCCCCCTCACAGACCCCCCTCTCTGGGACCCCCCCTCGCTGATCCCCCCATCGCTGACCCCCCCTCGCAGACCCCCCCTCGCTGACCCCCCCTCTGGGACCCCCCCTCGCTGACCCCCCCTCTGGGACCCCCCTCACAGACCCCCCCTCGCTGACCCCCCCTCGCAGACTCCCCCTCGCTGACCCCCCTCGCTGACCCCCCCTCACAGACCCCCCCTCGCAGACCCCCCTCGCAGACCTCCCCTCTGGGACCCCCCCTCGCAGACCCCCCCTCTGGGACCCCCCCTCGCCGACCCCCCCTCTGGGACCCCCCCCCTGGGGTAGGCTACCCTAGGCTCAGAGTCGGCCGCGCGCAGAGGGAGGGTAGCCCTAAGGATAGGCCTAAGGGATAGGCCCTAGGGGTAGACCTAGGGTAGCCCTAGGGGTGGGCCTTAGGGGTAGCCCTTTTATTGCGGATTATAAACTGATTCCTTTGGTCGGGCGGGTAGGGCAGGACATGAAATGCATTGATTGCTTTGGTGGCGGATTACATGTTGATTCCCCTTGGTAGCGGATTACAACTTGATGCCTTTAGTCGGGCGGGCGGGCGGGACATTAAAGGCATTGATTGCTTGCTTGTGTGGTGGATTACCAATTGCTTCCCGTTGGTACCGGATTACGAGTAGATTCCATCTGTGGCGGATTACAAGCTGATTCCTTCTGTCGGGCGGGCGGGCGGGACATTAAAGGCATTGATTGCTTGTGTGGCGGATGGCAAATTGATTCTTATTGTGGCAGATTGCACATTGATTCCTTTTGTCTGGCGGGCGGGCGGGACATTAAAGGCAATGATTGCTTGTTTGGTGAATTGCGAATGGATTCCCTTTGGCAGCGGATTTTAAACTTATTCCTTTGGTCGGGCGCCTTTTGCCGGGCGGGCGGGCGGGACATTGAAGGCAACAATTGCTTGTGTGGTGAATTACAAATGGATTCCCTTTGGCAGCGGATTGCAAACTTATTCCTTTGGTCGGGCGGGCGGGCGGGACATTAAATGCATTGATTGCTTTCGTGGCGGATTACAAAGTGATTCCATTTGGCAGCGGATTGCAAGTTGATTACTATTATGGCGGATTACAAGCTGATTCCTTTTGTCGGGCGGGCGGGCGGGACATTAAAGGCATTGCTTGCTTGTGTGGCGGATTACACATACTGAAGGCCCTAGGCTTCCCAAGGATAGGCCCTACTGGACACCCTAGGGTAGCCCTAGGGTACCCCTAGGGGTAGGCCCCAGAGGTAGCCCTAGGGTAGCCCCTAGGCCCTAGGGGTAGCCCTAGGGTAGCCCTAGGGGTAGGCCCTAGGGGTAGCCCTAGGGTAGCCCTAGGGGTAGACCCTAGGGGTAGGCCTAGGGTAGCCCTAGGGGTAGACCCTAGGGGTAGGCCTAGGGTAGCCCTAGGGGTAGGCCCTAGGGGTAGGCCTAGGGTAGCCCTAGGGGTAGGCCCTAGGGGTAGCCCTAGGGTAGCCCTTCCTTGGGTGATCTATAAGTGTCCTGTTGTGCTTTACAGTCCTACTGCGCCGCATCTTGTGTTTGTCCCCCATCCACTGTATCATGATGTATGTTTCTCTGCCTGTGCGTGTTGCTTACACGCTCTGTTGTGCTTTACAGCCCTGCTGCGCCACTCTGTCCTTCTCTGTCCTGCTGCGCCCACTCGTGCTTCACGGTCCTGCGGCGGCCTCTCGTTCTCAGCTTGTGCGTTAACTTCCACGCTCCGTTGTGCTTCCCAGTCCTGTTGCGCCCCGCTGTGCTTCTCTGTCCTGCTGCGCCCTCTTGTGCTTCTCTGTCCTGCTGCGCCCTCTCGGGCTTGTCTCTCTCTCTCTCTCTCTCTCTCTCTCTCTCTCTCTCTGTTTCTCTTTCTTTCTCTCTCTCTCTCCCTCTTTCTTTTTTTTTCTCTCTCTCTCTCTCTCTCGCCCTCGCGCGCTAGTCTTTCCTTCGCTGATCCCGCCCGTCCTGCCTCCTCCCTGAGCGCTTTGCTTCCTGCCTCCTCTGCTTCTGTCTCCTTATGGTGCTCCATAACCGCGTGCTTGCTTGTCGGGGCCTTGTGCTGCTGCGCCGTGTCGCGGTGGGTCCGCGCGGTGCCGCGCCCGGGCCGCCGTTGCTGTGCTGCCGTGCTGTGCTGTCCTCGGGGTCCGTGTTGTGCCCTGCGCCGGGCCCCGTTGCCATGCCTTCCCCTGCCGTGCCGTTTCGCCCTTGTCTCCCGAGCTGGCTGTCTGGCCGCCCACGCGGGGCGTGCACGGGGAGGCGGTCAGATTTTCCCACGCCCGCTGCTGCTTCCGCTGTTGTCTTTTGTTCCGACCCTGGCTTGCTGGCCGCGCCCGCGGATCTGCTGCCTGCCCGTCTTGCTCGGGCTGGGGGAGCTTGCCCTGTCTCGATGGGCTGGCGCCGTCGTCCGGCGGCGCGCGATGGTGGGCGGGCCCGCTGGGGCTGCGAGCTCGCTGCGCATCAACTGAGGGTCCCACGACGGGTGGTGAAAGACCCGACCCTAGACGGGGGCACCCTGCGCCCCGCCTCGCCCGCATCCTCCCGGGGGCGCGCCGGGGCGCTGCGAGGGCCCGGGGGCCGGCGACGCGGGCGGGCGGCGCGCGGCGCGTCGTCGGGCGTGTGGCCGCCGCTGCGGAGCCAAAAAGATGGGCGTACCGAGGACCACCAGGCCCTGCTCGCGTGGCAGTGCGGCGGTGTCTCCGACCCACACGCTGTCTCGCTAGGTTCCTCACTCTCAGACTCCTGGTGGTTCCACTCCTGCTGCGTTCCAGAAGTTCGTCCTGCCTACGTTGACTCAATGCCTCTGGAGTGCGCTGAGGACCCAGTCGAAAACTTCTCGCGATCGAGCTGGAGCTGACACACCACGTATATGTTGTCCAATAAAGCAAATAGATGCTTCCCCTGAAGCAAGTGGGCCTGCACTTCTTGCAGGGCAGGGTGTTGGCCCAGGGCGGAAAGCGCGGGCATCAGGGGATCGCCAAGCTCACAGCCTTCTGACTGCTCCACTACGTGCGCGTCCCCGTGCTGGCCAGTCCAGAGATATTGCGAGCGGGGCCCGTAGAACATTCTGCAGAAGGGCAGTGCCCGCTCTGGTGGACAGGGCGAACTGCAATGGTGCTGTGGCTGCCTCCGCCTCCGATCGTTGATCTGTTGGGCAGCTGCTGCCGCTGCCGCGCCGCCCCTGCCACCGCCGTCGCCGCCAAGGCCGTCAACCCAGCTGCCGCCGCTGCGGCCGCCTCCGTCGCCGCCAGCTGCCGCCGCCGTCGCCGCCAGCTGTTCGCAGGGCGGTCGTCCACCTGCGGCCTGGCCTGCCCGTCAGTTGCGTCAGGGCCCGCGCCGGCTGCAGCGGCGCTCTTGGCCGCGCCCCAAGCGCAGGGCGGGGCGGCCCGGCTCCAGCTGCCTCGCCCTCCTGGCGCGCTGCTCTCTGGCAAGCCTCGGCTGCGTCGTCTCCCTCTCCCTCTCCGCTGCGGCGCTGCTGCGGCGGGGGCTTGGGCGTGGGGCCTGCAGGCGGGCGCGCGGCAGCCCCGCCCCACGCCCGGGAGGCGGGGCCCGCAGGCGGGTTCGCGGCGGCCCCGTCCCACCTCCCGCCCCCGCGCCGCTCGGCCTCGGCATCTTCCCCAGCCTCGGGCCGCTGCTGCTCGTCTTCCTCCGCCGCCGCCTCTTTCGCGCTCTCCTGCTGTTCCCCCGCCGCTGGCGCCGCCTCCTCCTCCTCCTCCTCCTCCTCCGCCTCCTCCGCCTCCTC